ATGAATATATACATGACACCTGTGGCAAAACCACATCCCAAATCTAATTCAACTCTCAGCAAAGAGGAAAATCTAATGCCGTTTGGCTCGCAGCTTGAGTTCATTCAGGCTACAGTGGGAGCGACAGTTTGCCTATTTACTTTTATTCTGGACTTTTGCTAATTATCTTAACTACACAAGTAATTATCTTTCACATCAAAGGGCTGCGCTCTGAGCCCTGCTGGTCCCCCCCTCCAACCAACCAACCAAACACTCCCCGACACACACACACACACACACACACCATCATCACCACATTTCCGGAGCCAGCTGAATCATGACATTAGCAGATAATTAGACAGTCGCCTGGCTGCGTTTGATGGAGGGCACATGTGACGAGCAGCCGCCTGTGAGTGGAGTTACTGAATGTGAATGCAGAGAGGCGTAATACACAGATTTTACAGCGGCTACTTGATCACAGGTGTTAAGCTGCAGACTGAGTGAAAGCCTGTATGGTTTGTTACGGATTAGCAGTAAATGAATGACCATTGATGATTTTTTTGATTTTTTTTTTTTTGTGGCTTCATCTGTGCTGAGCAGCCCTTCTGATCTCGTCCATTAGCGGTGCTCTTTCTGATCACTGTCCACTCCAATCAATGGACGATGGAGCCGCCGGTCTGAGCGCCGCCCAAAAGCCACGACTTAACGGCCTGACCTGTGACACATACAGCCCGTATTTGTGTGCGTACGCTTTAGGTTCGCTGCATCTACTTCATTCACCAATGCCTCTGGGCTCCCGTTTCCGCAAACACACAATAATCAGGTCATCTGGCACCAGGCATGAATCCTTCATTAACAATCTAACGATAATCTCTGCAGAAACATGGCGACTGTGGGAGAAGAATTTACATGAACTGCATTTAAATTCCTTTGAAGTTGTTTGTTTTGCTCACCTTGGAAACACACTATTTCTACTTCTCCTCTGTGGTAAGAAGTAAACGCACCCCATAAATATTTATCTACCTAGGGCCTGTGCTATTCTGGCCCAGTGTTTTGAACATAGCCACTGGAGATTGGCCCTATCAGGGACCCGCCAAGAGAGAGGGGGGAGTGAAAAAGCGAGGTGGAAAGGGAGCGGTGGAGGATAATATTTTTTTTTTTCGTGCCTGTTCCAGAATGAAATGGTTTTCATGATGTTTAATGCAGGAGGATGGGGTCAGGGTTCAGAGTGCGTTTTCCTTTACGAGTCACCTCACACTCTTTCACAATAAAGATGAGTCCCTGCAGTATTTTAAAGAGGTTTTTTTGTGCTTTCAGGGAACTATTTTTTTGTCTTTTATTACATATGAAAACATGTTATACTCTCCAACCCGACCGATTCACAGGTCCAAACCATGGGCTTGAATTGATTAGATTTAAACAACATATAGCTACAATATAAAGCTAGAACAAGCTGGAATCCATCTCAGCAAGACAGAATAAAATGAGCTTTCTAACCCTTAAAGCTAGTCAACAAATCCCCATTGCAACTTTCCAAATTCCAAGGCGACGTCTTCAACTATCTGGTTTTGTCCGACAAAACTCAAAAACTTCTAAAAGTCAAAGATATTCCGTGTACAATGATAAATAACAAAGAAAAGCTGCAAATCCACCCATTTCAGACGATGAATAAGTACAATTATTTGAACTTTCTTTTCCAACTGTGCTGTGGGTTTGTTGTCAGAGAACCAACAATGGCTCAGGTGCAAAATAAAAGCAGCCTCATGACTTTCATTCCGCCTTGGTGAGAAAGGAAAGGGGGAAAAAAGAGCCGAGAAATCTAAGAAAAGCCCCAATCGCCAACATCTTGGGGAGGAAAAGTCATCAGGAATTAGTTGCCATGCCTGACACCAGTGTGCAACACAGGCAAACTCTTGCTGTCACCTCCTGACGTGGGAGCCACAGAATTGCTGGTGTTCCTAATAATCGCATGCATGAATATGGTAACGCGCACGCACACACAGCTGTGTGAACTTGTGCGGTTTTCGGGTGCCTGTCTGCTCGTGAATACCTGCAGAGGAGTGTATCCGTGTGCGACACCCTCCCTGAAACCTGGTGACACCTCAGTGCGTGTGTGTGTGTGGGGTCGGGGGGGGGGGGGGGGGGGGGGGGCGTGTATTACACGTCTACGGCCCTGTCACACACACACACACACACACACACACCTCTTAACTGGTGAGCTCTGCAGGCTTCCATACTTTCGGAGGCCTCCACCTGGATATTATTGCGTCCTGCGGCACCCTGCTCCACCGCTCTAATGAGCTCGCCTCAACTCAGTCAAAGTCATCTGATGACACTGATGTGGGGAGATTGATATTCACGCTTGACTCGCCGTCCTCTCCACTTGACTGCTATGTTTACCTCCCCACGCAATTAGTATCTGGTGAAGACAGACAGACAAAAGGAGGAGAAGAGGGGATGGAGTCAGACTCCGCCGTGTGTGTGTGTGTGTGTGTGGGTGTCTGCGCGCAACTACATTAGCTCCGACTGTTTATAAAGATGGGAGTTGTCTTTCAATGTGGTTTGAAGGTGGCTCTCTATATCACGGGGCCATTACCAGCTCATTTAATCCCCATAACGCTACTTTACCTCTCTGAATGTCAGTGGCTTGAAATAACAAAAGACGGATTGGCTTAAGTAAAAATGCATATTTCAACAGCTTCCATCCAAAATTTGCATCTAAGATGTGCCTCGCTTGGGCTTTTTTTTTTTTTTTTTTTTAAATGAATGAATCCGCAGAGCAAACTAGTGCAATGGGAAGTTACGGGTTCAACTCACGCCCAAACCCCCAGCGCTGTTTACACTTCTAGCCTTCCATCACGGTTAGCTAACTTCCGTCTGAATATTAGCATATAAACAAATAAAAATAAACTTAAGAGCAGAATGCCCCACTCTCTGTGAAAAAAATGAGGGGAGGAGAGATGGCCTGTGATTGGCGTTAGCAGACTTTTAGCTGAGCTCGAAGGAGAAAAGAGAGGCATCGAAGCAGCAGCCATGTCTTCAAACTGATTTAGCATTAATTGGCATTCTCTCTAATCGGTGCATTCACCATTTGAACACCAGGATGGAAACGATGCTGAATACTGATGCCTATCTGAGTTGGGGGAAACGAGCTGAGGTGAGCAGGTGGACGTTCAGTACCTGAACGTCCACCTGCTCACCTCAGCAGGTACTGTGGACAACGTCTCGGCATACAACGGAGGGAGGTTTTGTGTGGAGCCACAGTGCCTCTCTATGGAGACACGGAAAATGGCCGCCTCTTCCTGTTGAGCTTGATGCCACACTTGTGTCTCTCAGTTAGCTTTAGCAGGAGGGATACTAGCTGTAGTTCCTTACTTTACACTTCTACTCCACTACATTTCAGACACGTTGCACTTAACTATAATTATTTGTTACCTTTAATATTTTTACATGTTTATAGAGTTCCCCTTGTCACGTTTCAGATGAGTTATGACATTTCCCCTCCCAAATTAATTTAAATAACTATTCAAGACCAAAAGAAGCACACAAAAGATAAAACGGCCAACACAACTTATTTTCTGGTTTGCCTGCAGCATCAGACTGATGGCTAATACATATCGAGAGTTAACATCCGTTACTCCCAACTTACAAAGTCATTAGGAGAAAGTTGGAAAGACTATTCCGGCGTTTGGGAAATAACCTACTACATCATTTTCAGACATACAGATTTTCTGTATTGTGTGATCTGCATAGCTTAATCTCAAAGACACAAAGCTAAGTAGTTTCTGGTTGTAAGGGGCCAGCTCTCAAAATACGTGCAAGAGCTGGCAGGCTGCTGCCGTTGCTTGAAGAGCAAGTAATCACACTTGAAAAGCCGCATTTACATAAGAAAAAAACAGGTGGGATTGAATATGATTTAATATCTTAAATGTAAATATCCTTTGGCATTGCAACGATTCACGCTTAAAATGGCAGATCAACAAGGTGCATGCTGTAACAAGTGAGCAAACACTTGAGATGGAAATGAATAATTAAACAGTAACAAAATAGAGGTGCAAGTTCAAATGAGCAATTCACCACACAATATTTAAATTAGATTCATTTCGTGGGCCAGATAGTCTTGAAAAAGCAGGAAGTTGTGCAAAATCAAGAATTACAAGAACTCTGTGCAACTTTAATTGCACTAAAAACTAAGGCTTGTGGTTCCAGGATGTTAAAAAAAATATATTCAAGGTAGCAGGAGCAGCTGAGTGAATCAGTTGAGTGTTAAGTTTAAGTTCAATTATGGGCGCAGTGTTGAATCAAACTCATGACCTTACAGCCTAAGTCCTTATTGGGCTGATTAGGCCTGTGATTTGAAGGTGTCATATGTGCTCGTAGGGTAAAAACTGCGGGACTGACAGCAGTTCAGAGCCTGTTTTTTGAATCTGAAAATAAAAACAGAACACTGCCCGACACAAATTCGACAGTTCAAAGTCTTGTGGAGCGATTCTGACGCTGCGCGCCTGTCAAATAAAGTTTACTTTCAAAGTGGAGTCCAATCATTACTCACCTCGACTTCCATTATAAACTCATGATCTTCAAAACTTCATATAAAAATTGCTGGAATACAGAAACCCACACCTACGTAGCTGGCAACCTGTGGGACACAATTTGCTATGTAAGTGGACAATCATGGGCTGAGTAGATGAGCAGGGTGCGCTGCCATATGGCAGGTAGTAGGTTGGATTAGTGTCTGCCCTCTGCCAACCATGAAGGAGGTTCAGTTCTTATATGTGACATTGAGGAGAATGTGAGTCCCTCCTGTGCCCCAGTTAAAATAAGTAAATTTCATAATGAATTTGAATTTGAATTTCTTCTCTTTTACTTTAGCAGTGAGTTTGTAAATGCTTGAAACAAAAGGTGAAGAATCGAATAAGCGTTGGATACCGTCACTGAGAGAGACTACATAAAAAAAAACAAAGCACGTGTTCATATTTGTCTCTTTTATTTTTTTGCTAGAAAAAAAAAAAACAGCCCCAGCAATATTTCATATGACCTGATTTAAAAAAAAAAAAAATACTACGACAGTAAAGTACAAAATGAAATATATCAAAACGGCCCAATGCTACCCAGAAGAAATAGGCAATAGTATAAAATGAAATGTCTTGAAGTCTACAACTACAAAAAAAAGTTAGAAAAGGTTACTTAAAAAGAAGGCAAGTATCCACCACGCAATGTGCCACTTTATCACAATCACTTCGCACGTCTTTCCTTGGATATAAAGTAATGCAAATACTTTACAATAAGTCACCGCAGGCCCGTCTCCCCACGACTACAGCAAAACCAAGTAACAGTCAAATGCATCACATAAAAATACACTTTATACTTTTTTTTTTTTTTTCTTCTTTTTTTGGCAACAATTTCACACATCACACAGGAAATGAATCAGCAAAAGAAAAACAAACAAAAAAAAAAAAAAAAACTTCTGGGGTAGCAACTTTTTTGGTTTCTTGAGAACAATATATACGTTCTGGGTCCACGACATCAGACTGCCTGTATGAGCTTCAGAGACTTTAAATCATATAAATATATATATGAACAAAAATATACTAAAACTATTTTGGAATACAAAAAGGATTAATGCCAAATGGAAGCTTACGATTATAAACTTCAATAACTTAAAAAAATGAATACATTTTTAGCCCTAATCTCCTTAATACTAAGGCTTTTGCACTTTTATTCTCCTAGATCATACATCACTGTCAAAATAGCACTCGCATGTTAGTGCCAAGAATGCATCAAGTATAAATACTAAGAAAACTCCTGTACAGTACCCATTTATGTCAAAACTACAAAATAAGTTAGTGTCAGGCAACTGTACAGATTATTTACAGTTTAAATACAAAAGGAAGGTATTTGTAAATGGAGATGACCAGTATGTAAATGTGACCTTGACATAAGGTAATTAAAGGCTACAACGGAAAAAGCTTTTCATGTAGCTGATTTACCAAGCTACTCGATGCTTCTTTTTTTTTTTTTTTTTTTTAATAACTTGTAAGAGAAATAATGATTGGCTGCCTGCCAAATTAACCGACCGATCAGTCACGGTCAAAATGTAGCAGTCGGTGTTGAGTTCTTGCCTTACTACAAAGTCCTGACACCACAGGAGAGTTTGGTAAGGCTGCCAAGATGTAAGGAATCAATCACGGACGGGGTTTTCGCCTTGAAATGACAGTCGTGATTGGTGGAGGCGGGGAAGGGGGGGGGGGGACATAAAGGAGCTGTCTCTAAGCACAGTTACGGGCCAGGAGGTGGAGAGGATAAGATAGACACATTCATTTCAGCAGCAGCCGTATCCCATCGGCACATGGTAAGAGTGTGGGCGTGAGTAGGAATGGATGAGGAAGAGACACCACCTGTTACAGCAGGTGCCCAGTAAACATTTGAGTCTCCTGCAGAAATGGAGCGAGAGAAGTTGGCGGAGAGGAAGGTATTTGGTACAGGAGAGGTAAAGGTTTGTGTGTGTGTGTGTGTGTGTGTGAGGGGAGAGAGTCAGCGAGTGGCATCAGTCCACGTCACTGAGGTCGCTGACTGGCTCGTCCTGCACTATGCTCAGGTGATTCATGGCGCGGCTGTAGGCGATCTGGACGGCCTTGCGAACGCTGGACGTGCGTCCCTCCATCATTTTGATTTTGTCTATGGTCTTGTCCAATCCCAGAGGAACCATCTTGGATCTAGGAAGCCACTGCCTGAAGGCGAAAGGACAGCATCGATGTAACCAAAACCAAACAGTTGCTGTTTTTTCATGGTTGTAGAAGTATCATTTCCCAGTAATATTTCACTCTTTTCATAAGAAAACTGGGATCTCTTGTAATAAACTAGGTTTGATTTCAAACAAAAAGCTACAGATAAGTTGTGTTTATTCTCATGTGTGTGTGAGGGAACACAATGACAACTACCCTAAGTGCCATCACATGTTCTGAAAACCAAAAGTGGTGTCTTCCAAATGCTTGTTTAGTTCGTACAGTGCAAAACCCAAAAGTTCAATTTACAATAATATTATAAAACAGAAATAAGCAGTTAATCCTCACATTTGAAAAGCAGGAATCTGTAAATGTTTGGAATGTTCCTTTGATTACCAATTACTACATTTCAATTGACTACTGGTTTCAACAGTTATCTGGAGATGGCACCCTTCTCTTTGCACACACACAAACTATAAGTCATGGGCTTTGTTTCTGCCGGTATTTTTGCAGGTAAAGAGCGAAACGTGTGTTAAAACTCACAGTAAACGCTGCAATCTCAGTGTTCAACCCCGAGAATAGCAAAAGTAACAACAGTCTAAATTCCTACTATTGCTACTGCAACTGCTACATTTGAGTGTGCAGTGGTGTTTGGGATGCAAAATGATTCTTTAAGATAAATGATGTGTGCACCAAGACAAAACAGAACAAAACTAAGAAGTATTTAATCAACTGATTGATGGTAAAGGACAAAACAAAAAGCTCTTTTCAGACTTTGTTTTAATTATGTAACAAACAATATTAATTATTGTCGTATTAACTTATATTTTTGAATCTTTTGATATCCCATTGTGACACTAAAGGCTCCAGTACCACCATCACTGTTTAAGACTTTCCCAGTGATGGGAGTCCAGGTGGAATTTTTGAACGCCTCTGGAGGCGAGGGCCATTCGTCGCCTCTCGACAGTAAATGTGACGCAGCCACGAGGAAGTAATGATCAGCTGACTGATGTGTTTGACAGGTTTACACTTGTGGAGGCCCGGCGGCGGCTTAAATCATTCCCGCGGACACTCACCAGCTGCGCTTGTTGTCGAAGAAGAGGACGAGGTAGAGCTTCTCTTCGGCTTTGTACTGCATCTGTTCTCCGATGCGGAGCACGTCCATGGGGGGCATGGGGATGGACACCCCGTTGTGCTGGCAGCCTACGCGTGGCATGTGCGGGTCGATGATCTACACACAGTGGGGGGTGGCCGTTACACACAGATTGGTGCTCATGAATGCAGAGGCATGGCAAACATACATCCACCCACAGAATCACTCAAGCATATAGTAAATATGTCTACACTGTATATACACACACACACACACACACACACACACACACACACACACACACACACAATGAACACTTCCAGCTTGAGGCAATAGGATTCTTTTACTCATTTGTCCTTTCATGCTGAGGTCAAATTGAGCTGGTTGACAGTGAAAGGCTGCCACCTAGTGGATAAACAGGACATTTCTCCCCCCCCCCCCCAAGACTGTCCACTGGACACCTAAAAAGAACAGCTGTAGTGAAACTATTGCTTGAGTGTAGTAATTATGTTCCAACGTGAAGAGATGACAGGAAAAGGTACAGAGTACAGAGACTGCAGTCAGTGATTGTCATGCGTTCTCTCCAACAAACACTCACCAAGGCAGGGTAGGAAGGGTATCCACTACATTTGGCCCAAACTAGCTTTAGGGGTTCCAATGCAACTGTTGCAGCACTAGCGGGCATCCAAATATTGCTGTTGCCAACCTCTATGGAAGCGGGAACAACACCAAACAAGTCAGGTGTGGGTTTAAAAACACAAGAAACACATTTTCCAAAGCCGTGCTGCACGCGCAGGACCACAATCAGGGCGGGAAATTCACTTTTCCCCTTTTAAGAGTCACAGTGAACAACGGATATTAGAATTCAACCGGCCACTTTTGGCGTTTTGTTGGCCAAATGGGAATTTTCAGATGAGGGAAGAGGCTCCAGCTGCTGACTGGTTACGCGCCATGATGGCAGGCAGAGCATAAACGCTCACCGGTCAGTGCCAAAAAGCCACAAGAAGTTGGCTGGTGGTAATTTCCAACCCTGTTTCTTTATGTGTATGTGTGTGTGAATACCAGGTGTTTGCAAGTTCTATCAAGTTTGACTTTTAGGAACAAATATAAAGTTCAACAGGGAAAAGATGTTAAAGCACCTGCAAACATCTGGCGGTAGACACAACTACTCTCTGTGCTGTATTGCTTATTGGCCACACTGAGTCCTGGACAAGACTGAGTGCAACAGGCTACAATACATGTGTGTGTTGTTTGAAATACATTGATGGTGAAGCTTGACTTGTTGACTTGTACATTAGCAGGCCATTCCCACCAACTGACAAATATAGATGTATATTCTGGCTCATACGCTAGAAGAATTTGCATTCTAATGTATATTTGACCCTGAAAGTCCAGTAACATTTTACAGTTCTCAATGTAGTGTTTCCTCATATTTACTGTGTTTTACAATTAGATCTTTTTCTTAATAGTCAAAAGCAAAACATGTTCTATTGATATCAGTATCGAGCTAAAAATTCAGTATCATTCAGGCTTCTGTTTTCAGAAAAGGCAAATAACTGTGTAGAGTGTAGCACAGAATTCATAAGATCAATTAAATATCAATGTTTCACTGGAAAGGATCCTGTGTATTTATTGAAAATAAGAGTATAAATTGCGTAGTTTGTACACATAACTTTAAGACTAACCCTCACACGTGCATGCGGATGTGATTTGACACACAATGCAGCCAACTTACCGGCAGCGATTCGAGCAGCTTTTGCAAAATTCCCGGTTTCGATGCAGGCGATTAGTTCGCTCTTATCGTCCACAGTGTTTCTCCGGACCAAGGCGGGTTTCCCTTTCCCACATTTTGGAAGACTGAGAACAGTGCTACGAACGAAGAAAAAGACACACACACACACACACACACACACACACACACCAGAGTCAACTCGAGAGACTAAACAGCTGCTGCTGATTGAACAACAGAAGAGTGGAAGAACAGATCTTTAGGACCTGCTGTTATTTATTTGTTTTATTTATATATATTTATACACTTTTCAACACCATTTTCATATATGCAGCTTAGCTACTTCCAAATATATAAGTCGTGACAAAGGAAATCTGCAATAAACATTCCAGAAACTTCATTTGAAAAGGGGCGGACAGTCTGGTGACGATCCTTCTGGTACATTTTGATGATGTGATTATAATTTCCCATCTTTGTGAGTCATACTTTTACATTTTATTGAATGGATTTTTTTTTTTTTTCACCCTTTTGTTATTTGAATCAGTGTTATGATTTTCAGGATTCTCAGTGGAGCATTTTTTATCTCGACTGAGACCAGTTGGAGGTTTTCTCAGTATGACATGCACTGCTTTTATAAAAAGACTTAATAAAAGACCCTGCTTTGAAGTCAAAGACCAGAGCAGACATGTCCTCTATCTGCTGGCTTACCTGGTGCTTCCTGGCAGACTGCTACATGAGGAGATGGAGGACTCAGAGGCACAGCGTCTTCGTGGCTCCACAAGCCTACTGGCTCTACTAGAGCCTACTAGGTCCTGCTCATCGTCCACCTCCAGAAAACCGCTCGACAAGCCTGAGACACAACACAACACAGCTCATGACAGATATTCAAATGTTAACGCGTCTGCATTGGCTACAGTTTCTTCAATCGGCCTTTAATCGAATTGAATAAAACTCGTGTAAAACAGCAATCAAGTGTCTGTTGTTACTGCTGTGCTGTTTTGACTGTGATGACTTGTATGTGGTGTAACGGCTAATTGCGATGTTTCAACTGTCAATTTCATGGGTTGGCAGCACAGCTAAATACTGCTGCACTAATTTCAATCAGAGCGTTGAGGAAATGTCATTCATACTCTGCCATATGGCAGCTCGAAGAACATGCAGGGAAATGGGGAGTCTTTCTGTTCACACTTGTTCTTACCAGTGTCGAGTCGCTTCACAGGGGACTCTCCCTCCTCTTCGTGCTCTCCCTCTCCTCCCTCCTCCTCCTCCTCGCTGTCCCTGCTGCCGCTGTGCTTCCTCTTCTTGCTGTGAAGCAGCGTCTCCAGCCTGGGTATGACCACCGACAGGAAGGATTTGGAGCCCAGCTGTGCGCCGTCTTCAGCGTCGTCCTCCTCCTCCTCCTCCTCCTCCTCCTCCTCCTCGCCCTCTTTGCCGTCGACTCCGCCGCCGCCGCCTGCCTCGTCCCCTCTCCTCGGGGGCTTGTAGGGACTGGCAGCCTTCGACTTGCGGAAGAGCACGGCGGTCCGCCGGTTGACCGTGCCCGTGGGCTCTGCGAGGGTCGACGTGGCCACCACACTCACGTCCCCGTGCAGCAGCGAGCTCTGGAGGCCGTCGCGGCGGGAGTGGCCGTTGAGGCGAGGGGCGGAGGAGAGCAGCTCTGGTATTTCCCCGTCAAACCGCGCGAACTTGCTCGGATGCGTGTCTTCGCAGTCCGGGGCGGCGTCGATTGGTTTGAGGGTGGGGGGCCCGGGGTCGCTGTCCGAGTGGTTGAGGAGGGGGATGGAGTCCGAAGGCTCCAGTTTAGGAGGAAGAGACTTGTCTCCTGTAAGGGAGAAGAGGAGAAAAGGCACACAGACAAGCTGCTTATTGTCATCATTTTGACTACACAGCCAACATTAATCATTCAAACTGCGAACATTAAGCACAACACATATTATTCATGTTACGGCACACAGGCTGTTATGGCCCCACAATTTGTTTCCTCTGGTGCGGTGCATCAGTTTGTTTTTTTCCTCCCCGTTTTATTATTCATATGAATGTATTTTTCCTTTCTCCTTCATCCTCATTACTATCTCCTCATGGTGCTATAGAAATAGAAAATAAAACTTGTGGTAAAAGATTAGCTATGCAGAACAGCACAATGACATTTTTTTTAGGCGTACTATTTTGGAAGAATACAATTTTTTTTTTAAAGCTATTCATAAAAATTAAAAACCATAAACAATAAAAGAAAAAGGTCCAGCCATGACAAAGACAAAAAATATGACCTGCAGTATAATGCTATTACCAACAGTAAAGCGCTGCAACACCCACACTTTGTCCTTGTGTTTGGAGAAGTGCTGACATTGCACATTATCATATGGCTTTTAGGTTTATCATAAAAGTAAAACAAGGCACTATTTAGCATAACACAGTGGCACTTTTATGAATAAAAAATGAGCAAAATGACTTCCTTCTCCCCACCCCCACTAGCAATCTTAATGTGACTCAGCGACTGTGCTGTGAGTTTAAACTTTAAGCACCACTGCAGTGACACAGTGTGATACTACAGCAACACTGGGATGTGACCCTGACTGGGTGCTCTCTCCCAGTCCGGGATCGGAAACACAGAGACATCAGGACGCTGTTTGGACAACTATGACACCCATGCAAAAGTTGGTACTCTCTGGTTCTGTGTGCTGAAGTCACTGAAAACACTTAGTACACATTAAGAAACATTACCACTAATTATCCAATAAAAATTCAAAGGTTTTATCAGTTAACTATATAATTAAGATGTTTTATTGGCTTTCTTGATTCTAGTGTTGGGGAAGAAAGGTTCATGTTCACAGCCACAGGCGCCGCTTTCCTAAATACCAGGAACATCTGTGGTTGTTTTTAGCTAATTTCCCTGAAACAGCGGACAGATGCTCACCTCAACACAAAACAGTGCAGGGTTCATGATGATTATGTGTTAAAGTAGCCTGATAATCAGACTTAAATCGCCATTTTCTTCTCTTCCAAAATCGCTTAAAAGAATCGGAGATGAGGAAGGAAATTCAGAGGGCTGGGAGCAGGCTTGTGATGCATTACTGAAAGCAGCAGAGACGACGATACCACCATGTCTCAGACACACTTGGTACGGGAAAAAGCATGTGACATTGCTCTGTATGGCTATGTTTTGGGTCGGGGGGGGCTAACCTCTGACCTCTGACCTGAGCTTCAGGATATTTAGGACATGTGAGGCTTAAAATACCAAAGCACAGGGAAAAAAAAGAAGCCAAACCCAGATCAACACATACCCTCGTCATCTGGAAAAAGTCCATTGGGCTTCAATCTCTCTTCTTTAGGTGTACTCAACTCTGGGCGGGGGGCAGCCGATGAAGATGATGCTGACGTGGAGGGAGTCGAATGGTGGTGGTGGTGGTGATGGTGGTGGTGGTGATGGTGGTGGTGGTGGCTGGAGGGCAGGACTCTCTTTAGGCTCATTTCATTGCGCACATCGTTGATGGTCTTTTTGAGCAGCTTCAGGCGCTTGCTGCGGGAGGGGCTGGACTTCATGGCACAGGTCATGTCAAACTTCTCAAGTAGCTGCTGCAGCTGCTTGTCCAGAGACAGGTGCTCCCGACTGGCTGGCGTCAGTAGGCGGTCCACTACGGAGAGAAACATGGGTTTTTGCTCAACACATTCTACGGATATCTCCGGATATCTATAACGGTGCGAAACACATCGCCCCTTACCGTCCTCCCAAGAAAAGGATGTGGGTGCTTTGATTTCCGGAGCTTCGGCCAGATGCACGCCGCTCTCCGCGTCAAAGCCGATTTTCTCCACGTCTTGCCGGGCCTTTCTGAGCAGGGACCCGCCCTGGTCTCGGAGGCGAACAGCAGCCCGGTAGAAATACGTGTCCTTTGAGTTGTATTTCATGCAATTATCAATAATGAGGTTGAAGTCGTCCTCAAACTGTTCAAAGTTGTTGTAGGCCTGTGCATCGATGCGCTGCCGCATGGTGGAGAAGTCCATTGCGTGCTTGATGTGGTCGAGGTAATCGGGCACCTACAGGAAACAGCAGATAGTTAAGTTTTTATAATTACTTCCACCATTCTTGACAAATCAAAAGTCGTTCACAGTAGATCATGTTGGGGCATATTATCTTTTACGACATGACAACCCCATCTAAAAAGACTGTAGACAACATCAATACCGTTCCAAATTGACCCAAGAGTAAAAGGTTGCGCCCAACGTGGGGCTCGAACCCACGACCCTGAGATTAAGAGTCTCATGCTCTACCGACTGAGCTAGCCGGGCGTGCCCTGTAAAGAACCCTTCACCCTTTTTGGACATCACCATCTGCCAGTGGACCTTACTCTCAAGTTTCACATTCCACTTGGCGGGAAGTCACATTGCTCAACACTGTCTGCTGTCTGTCGCCTTTGTGGCGTGCAACTTGTAACACATGTAGCAATGCATGGGAAAGCACAGGCCGTGATTATTTGCTTTGGGAAAACACAAGTGCGCGCGCGTGTGTGTGTGTGTGTGTGTGTGTGTGTGCGTGCGTGTGTGTGCGTGCGTGTGTCAACATCTCTGAAGCAGTTATCTGGAAATCAGGCAGAGAAACCGGTAAAACAGACGCACTGTTTTTCCGTTGTCGCCCTTTCATCCTGTTGAAATATGAACCAGCAAGTCCAGTTTGGAGCCATGTCACACAGGAAGTCTCTGGGTGTAAGTCCTTGCACTCTGGACCGTACACCTCTTTAAAAAGTTAATCATGTCTGCTGTTAACGCTCTTCAATGACTCATTGCCCGAGAGCCAAACGACAAATCGCCATTCGACAAAGTACATACAGTACTGTGAGATCTTGTACCAAACATGTCCGATTCGTCAACACAATGCATTGACATTGTCCCAAAAAAAAAAAAAGAGACTGCAGAGCCAGAATTAGCTTTTTTGCAGCGCTATCTGTGTTCACTTGGTGGAGACCCCTGCCACAACACTACAAGTTCCCACTATTGCACATAATAAATAAAATAACAGCACAACAGACTGAGGTGAAATACATCCACCATAGCAGCAAGAAAATGAAATCATCGCTTCAGGGGAGCAAGGAATTGTAACACAGCATATTGTACTCGTATTTTTTCATAGGTTTGTGGCATATAAAGGAGAAAAAAAACTAGGTAATAGATTATGTGTGGACAAACTCAACCACAGAACTTGTGTTCACGTATCTACTGACGTTCACCTCATTGACATCCACCGGCTGGGTGAAGATCTTGGCTTGGTCTTTAGTCTGGAGCTGGTCCAACAGGGCTCTGAGCAAAATACTGAAGGGACTCAACTGTATCTCCAGGAGGGTCTCCTGCAGTCGGATCTGCAACACAGCACAGATGGGGAAACCATTAGAGGATCAGAAGGTTTCATTCTTTACGCAGAATAGTATCCGACCACAGGTGATGTCAGAAGGCTGCCCCCATTGGTTCCTGCACTCCTACCTCTTCCCTCTTGAGCTTCTCCCTCTTGCGGATTAGCTCCAGCAGCAGCCGGGCTCTCTCCAGGTCGTGTCGGAGGCGGTGCCACTCCTTCAACTGGTCCTTCAGGGCCCTGCTCTCCTCCTCACACTGCCGCTGGAGACCACATTGAAACAAAAAAAACACACATTAAAGCATGAGATAGAATCGGAAAAGGAAATACTAGGGAAAAAAATGATTACACATTTCAACTTCTAAAAGCAACTGGTACATTTGTAAAAAAAAAAAAAGGCAAAATGAAGACTGAACGTCCTCTGTGGTTGACTGACAGATGAACAAACCGGTTGCGTGTTCTTCTGAGACTGCATGCTTGTCTGAAGGCGTCTGATGAGGGGAAGCCCGTTCCTGGATTGCCTCTTTAATGTCCAGTAATTTAGGACCAGCTCCACGAACGCCTTCTTCTTCTGAATGGACACCTGGTTCAGAATGGTTTGTAACCTAGGGGGCAGCCGGGAAGACGGGTATTAGGAGGACACCGCCGGGGGAGGGACGGCGACGACTAGCACACCTCAAGAGTCACAGGCTGCTTGCTCGAAATATGCAAGCCAAGTACATTTTTAGACATTATTAGAACAGTGGTTGTGGTTAGTGAGTAATATTGACATTAACAGCCATAGACAAGCTTTAAACAGCAGTTTAAAAATCCACGTGAGCAGACCACCGAAGTTTCTATTTGTGAAGGCAGACATTCACCAGTGTCACATGCTCAAAACCTGCAACGGCCAATGTTTGTACATCAACAACCTTATGCACGGTCAGCATGCTTGAGAAAGACAGACAAGCCCTCCCTATACGACCACTCACACACAGTAAATGTAGCTGAATATGCCATCCCCACTGACCCAACATTTGGGGTTTTTTTTTTACCATGTAAGCGGACGTTCCACCTCCCATCATGAATACAACTCAAGCATACCTGTGAGCAGGAAACGTAGGCACAGTAGCAAGGGTTGCAGCTTCAGGTTCAGGTTCCGGCTTTTTACTCTTCTTCTTTCCTTTTGAACGTCGTTTACCAATGCCTCTCCCTTTGTCCACTTTCTTACACAGTCCGTTTCTGGGTTTGGCCTCATCATAGATTGTAAGAGGCTTCCTTACACACCCGTTAGGAGTGTGAGCTCCACAGTAGGCAGTCTTTTTCACAGAGAACGTGGGCTCTCCGGTGTCCGTTACATCTTTGATTGGCTCCATCTTCATGAAGAGGCCGGCCTTTTGGGCACAGCTGACGTGGAAGGCGGTGTAACAGTTGGCTTTGTGGCACTGGATGCACGCCCCGACACCTCTCTCCTTGCAGAGGTAGCAGGTGAGCTTCCAGCGGGCCGGAGGAATGTGGCTGACGCCGTCAATGGGTTCGATGAAGGTGGTGTTGGAGAAGCCGACCTCGGGGACCCAGAGGGCGCACACCACGTGGCCCCAGCGGTCGTCGTCCGTCTTTTTCACCGCTCCGCCCTTGTTGGGGCAAAGGACGCAGTCTGCGGGCTGCGTGGGCAACAGGAGGCAGTGTCTGCAAAGCCACTGGCCCTCGGGAATGTAGGGCACGCCGTAACATTCCTGGTGCACGGCCACGTTGCACATGTCACAAAACAGGATGGCGTTGCTGTTGTGACACTCTCCGTCCATGCAGATGCAGCAGACGGCGTCCTCGTCGATGGGGGCTTGCTTTTCGCTGCCTTGGTCCAGACTCTCCAAGTGCAGCTCTTTCTCAAAGCGGTCGACGAGGAACTCGAAGACGTTGTGAGAGACCTGACTGACCCCTTCGCTTCTCCGTTTTTTGTTCACTAAATCCAGCCAGGCATAATCTTCCTCATCCATGTCGTATTCCGTTTCCTCGTCCAGCTCTTCCTCCGTCTTCTCCGTGTATTTGTAAAAGGCAGCTGAGCGCTTAGGAACTGCTGGAAGATTATACTCCACCGTACGAAATTTGGGCTCCTGAAGCTTTGGAGCGGCAATACTAGCAGCCTGATGGCCGCCTCCCTCTGAATGGACAGTGATGCCCAGGGCAGCGTTTCTCTTCTCCTGGCTGTTTTTTAGTCTGACTGACCTCACGAGGACCTGCTGCTGTGGTTTCTCAGCATTCTCCTTATTGCTGGTGCACTCCATCATCTCCTGCACCATGGGGTCGTCGTCCGAGATCACGTCCAGCTGGTCGTATATGCTGATCCGATGGAGGCGGCCATCAAGATCGAACTCCACCATGCGCTGCGCCTGGGCGTAAGTCAGGATCTGCTTGTTGGGGGAAGGCTTGATGGGAGACGAGGGCCTCTGCGGCACCGCAACCCGGTGCTGCCGAGCTTTCTTCTTCATCTTGGCGCTCCGTGTTGCTGTGGAGACACAGAGTGGGGGAGACTTCATTTGTATGGCGTTTCAATTTATTGAGGAGTGGCCTTTCAGAGGTGAGGATAAACAAAGACCACCCTTACTGATACAGTATTCTGTGCCGTAAAGCTAACTTTTTTTTATGATCGACAAACTCCCACTTACATTCTAACAGCAACATAAGTGACAATGCATTTATTGTTTGTATCAGCACAAGATAATGCAATAGAAATATTGTGCAAACTGCAAATAAGACAAATGATATAGACAGAACTGCAAGAAATAACCATGCATTATAACGGATTGCTATGATAATGAACTATGAGAGCTAAGGTATTCCAAGTTGGACATTTGATTTGAATGCATTATACTTTATTAATAACGTTAAAGTCAACCACTCTGACAAAGAGAGCTTATTGAGGGAGAACTTCCGCTGATGTTGCAGCTTCAAACTACAGAAACTATGTTGTGGACTGGTGTGTAACGTTAGTAGCCAGCTTGTACAATGCAGTTTTGTCAATGAGCTGAGAGCTTTAATGCGGTGGGAGGCGGCCACACAGGGCACTTTCAAACATGACTGCGCAGGAGTTAGCGCTTGCCCATTTGGCGCAGAGATGGAATGTCCTCTCAAAATAACGACCCAACAGTCAAAGTGGCCAAGTTGCTAACAATAACATTAGCGAGCCGGCTAACTAGCAAGAGGAGCTAGCCACCCCCTAAACGGAGCAAATGGCGTCAAACTAAAACAGAGCTATTTAAAACAACGCACGTTAATTCACATTGAACGCACATTTTGCAGATGCGCTGACTGTCTTCTCGTGGTCACCATTCAAGGAAAGCACATTAAACAAAAAGGACATACCTCGGATTCACGAGCAGCTTTGCTAGTTGAGGAAGACGGTAGCCAGCCAGCAGCCTTACAAAGCAATGGCGACACGGCCTGCTAAGTGGCTCTAAATCCGTACACAGTGTTCTCATCCAACGGGCGATACTGGGGGTCTGTTCAGTTACTAATAAAATAAGAAAGATGCCTGCTTGGTGCCTGTGGAGTTTCGATATTGAAATCTGCAGAGAACATGCAACTGTTTGCTTTGTGGACCACTCATAGGCTAGAGCCACTCGCTAGCCACAATCGACCAGGAGCAAATAGCTCTAGCAGCGGTACGCACGGCTCATCCCCCAACACAACAATGCGTATCACCAGACAACTCCCACCCGCACGCACAACTCTACGTGTGACGCTGGAGGTCATGTTGGTGGTGAGTCGTAGATTTCACACAAAAGCCCATCTGTCACACAGTCAATGCGTTGCCTTTTGTCGATCCTTGCTAGCTATGCACAGACAAAAGCTCCAAAAACAAAGCGCGAATTGGAGCAATCGCACCACTGTCTGCGTAAAAGCTGAGACCTATCTCCGTTTTGGATCTCCGGACGAACGGATATAAGTTTCAAACTGGGTAACGTTACGTCTTTCTAGCTGTCATGCTATGGGCTATTGATTCAGCACTTCTAGTTACACAGTCAGGACACAAGCAGAACAACAGCAGACCCTACTATGCCCCACCCTGGTGACCAGTTGGCCCTAAACCCTATCCTCAGCGCAGTAATAACTAGTATGATGCTATCTGAAACCAGTTTAAACCCAAAGCTGCTTTTCCAGAATGACAGTGAATGCAACACACGGTAGCAGTAATTGAAAGGTAATTATTTCGTAGTAAGTTACTTTATCAACAAGCTACCTTATGTTTGGTCTATTTTTAATTTTTTTAGATAAACTCTCTTTTTGATTCATTGCAGGATTCGCTCTAAGCTAAAAAAAAAAGCTATTTAGTTTAGCAACTGTTGAAGAATTACATATAATACTTTATTAGTGTCATTATTAGAGTAATCATCACAATACAACGTTACTTGTACACGGTAATGATAATAAAAGTTAATGCTAGTGGTACGCATATTGTTTAAAGGTCTGACACCCCCTTCCGAAGACCCCTGCACCCGATGACATCATTAAAACATGTTCCTTCCGTCCGACGCTGTGTGGAGCTGCTCCGGCCGAACGTGAACTGCTAGCGAGCCAAGGAGACAAAAGCAACAAAGTGAACCCCCCCTCTGGATCAATCAAATGTGTCATATTTAACCGTTTAGGAGCCGAAACCCAGTGATCCCACCGGCACACTTCACAGTAAGTATTCCGAGCACACGTACATATCTGCGGAGGGTTTAACGTGGCCGGGACGTCGTGGTTGAGAGCTGGTCTGATTCGGATCCCGTGTGGTTCGTGTGTTGCCACGGCTGGGTTCTGCCTCGCCAGGTTAGCTAGTGTGTCCTGTGTGGCCTAGCTGGCAGCTAACCAGCTAGCATCCGTGGTGTGGTCCGACATGTACTAAACGGACCATTACGGCGTTAATGGGATACGTGTAGAACTTGCAATGTGTCGAATATGTGTGCTACAAATCGATGTGACAGAAGTGATGAACATGTGTATTGTTTTTTTGTGTGTTTATTAGCCCCGATGCTAACTCAGTTAGCACCAGGATAGCCACCGTGGTGTTTACTAATGATTTAGCGTAACTGGCAACAATGTTTAATTATAACGTTAAATGCGTATTAGTATGAGGGTCGCACGCGTCTCAGGATGTGTGTTGGCGGTTGTACAATAATGGTGAGGACACAACCGGGCTGTATACACTGTTTTTAAGTTGGTGTGTTATGTGGAGATGAAAGCTAGCAAAGCGTTGGCTATTATCTGCTGCCCTGTCTGTCGCATCTTCCTGACGAGCACGTCAAACCCGGAAAACCGTTTTGTCATTGCTCAATTAGGAAGTGGCCAGTTGTTTTTTCTGAATTCCCACTTAACTTTAAATAAAATGTTAATATTCAGCAACACAATGGATAACGTTGGCCACATCCATGAGGTTAGATTAACATGAATGAGCTTGTATGACATTTTATTAGTACAAGTCAGAATGCGTCTGGGTGAAAACGTTACTTATGTACTTTGGCTAATATTGTCAGTCTCGCGTGGACACGTACGTGGGCACTGTAAACCCTTTTCTAGGTATTGTCTGCATCGTAACTGTCATGTATTGTAAAGGTTAATCAGGCTTGTGTCGTTAAGGACCGTTGTCTCAATACACTCCCTCACTCACTGTCAAGCTGCATGTGACATGCTTGATCTTGATAGTATTGGTCCGTGGTAACGCATTACTGACTCCCATCAGGGAACTAATGATCCATAGACTTTACCATCAGTGTAAATAAAGTAAGGCACGTCTGACCTGATCAAGGTGCAGAGAGATTTGTTCACACAATACACACCATTTTCACCTAGTTACCAGATTATTACTAACACCTAAGTAACTAATGGCACAGACCTGCAATAATGACTACTTTCATGAAGATTATAATGTTCAATTGTTATGTTTATGAGAGATGTTGATTCAACACAATGGTCACTTTGGAGGCTGTAGATTGCGGTAGTTTTAATACTCTGACCATCTATTTATATCAATGAGGGCAGGAAACTATTAGTATTCTCCTCTTTGTTATCAATAACAGAGTATTCTAACCTTTATTGAAGTAGTTTGTATTATAGGATAGTAGTATTAGACTGCAGTGACTTTAGCTTGGTGGCACTAATAGTAGACTGTCTCCACGAACCTGAGTCATTATGTTCTTCAGTGTTTTGATGTTTCAGAGTTGTTGCACATTTTCAGTTGTCCATAGATCTAATGATAATGTGATAACTCAATTTAAAAAAAAAAAAAAAAATTAAAATTAAAAACGCTGAACATTAAGTTAACATTATAAATATTGTGAATACTTCAGTGGTAAATATGATTATTCCAGTACATAGGAAAATATTTGCATTCAGGTTAAACGGGTTAAATTTGTGGGGATGAGTTGGTGCAGGCCTTTGTGATGCAGAAAGCTCACAGAATTGAGCAACAGTTCTGTGGAAGAAGTTCAGATAGGCATCCCTCTTGGTGGATGTTTCTGATTAGCATCTGTGAGCTGTGGGCCCGGTCCTGAAAAGGCAGATGAAGTAGTGGGCCCTGAGGGCTGAACAGAATGCTGCGTTTGGGCGGTGCTCGCCAATTTGCAAATTTTAACATTTCTATGTTTAGAACCACAAAGTTGTTTTCAAAGTGCTCAATCCCAGCATTTTGTGAAACCTGAATTTAGAGCAGGAGTTGTGACTTTTAACGCACTACACTATTCGTAGCGGCAAAACCTCGCCTAAAGAGCCTGTTCAATCAGCTTTAGAAGATAAGAATAAAAGTATTTATGTTGTTATTGCAGAATACATGCATTTACCTGCTGTTTTAGAGTCTCTTTATTTCTTAAGAATATATTTTGATATGTTTTCTCTCTCTCCCTCTCTCTTTAGGTTGTGTGGGGGGGAGAGGTGGGACTACTTTAGTCTTAAATGGAGAGGGACAAGCATGCACCCTGTGTCCCGGACAGCCACACACTATTGACGACGCCCGCTTGAGAGCTGCAGTGTCAATGACTACACCTGAAAACATTGATTACGTTTGACAACGCAGACCTGACTATTCTACGGAAACCCTTGGGCTGCTGCCATGGATGGGGAGGAAGAGGTGTCTCGCATGAGTGAGGATGTCGTCGGTGAACCCAATGGCTCCATGGAAAGTAAAAAGAGAGAGGCCAAAGGGACCTGCCTGAAGATTGAGGGCCAGGAGGGCTACGTTTTCAAATCCTACACCATCAACCCACGCGAGACTGCGGATGAAAAGTCACCTGCTAGCTCCTCAATAACACTGGATAAAGACTCTCCCCCTTCTCCCCATTTATCTCCTCAGGATGACAAGGAGTTGGAGTCAGACAAAGCAAGTGAGACGGATCCAACTTCTCCCACGCTTTCAAACAAATGCCTAAACACTGATACTGAGGGAAACACGGAAAATGAAAGCTATGAAAATGGGAATGAAGAAACTCCGCATATCAAAGAGGAGACTGGGGATGCGAATGGAATGGAGGAGGAAGCCCAGGACGATGAAGGGCTCGGGTTCGGTAGCTCTGTCGGCCCTTTTGTAACTAGAGATGGTGACGATTATAGTAATTTACTAAGTGGATACACAAGCACCCTTTATGATGTTGCCATGGACGCTGTCACTCAGAGCCTTCTGTCATCAATGAGGAGTAACACCAACCCGAGGAAGAAATCCCCTGCGTGGAATCATTTCTGCATATCGCCACGAGACAGTACCAAAGCAATCTGTTTATACTGCATGAAAGAGTTCAGCCGGGGTAAGAACGAGAAAGACCTCAGCACGAGTTGTTTGATGAGGCATGTACGAAGGGCTCACCCCACTGTGCTTTTACAAGACGGAGCAGACGCTTCCGCAAACAATCTGGCCAGCTCCCTCGCCTCACCGTCGATACCTCCATCCCCAAACTCACCAAAAAATGGAGACTTGACAAATAGCGTTATTTCTTCCGCCTCAAAGAACACTTCGCCGTCCACCTCCTCAGCTGAAAATTCAGATCTGTCATCCAAAGAAGTGTTACCCAAAGTCGACCCAAAACTGGAACCGTACGCCAACAGCGACGCCGTTTGCGGCACGCTGTCATCCTCACATTCCAACGACAACGTCGAAGACATGTCCGACAGCGGGCCCGAGCGCCCCCCCGGGACCCCGAAGAGCTCGAGTTCCCGCCGGAGATCGGCTGTATGGAAACACTTCTACCTGTCGCCTGTCGACAATTCCAAAGCAGTGTGTATCCATTGCATGAATGAATTCAGTAGGGGCAAAAATGGGAAGGATCTCGGGACAAGCTGTCTTATTCGTCATATGTGGAGGGCCCACAAAGAGGTTGTCATTGAGGAAAACGGACAGGGCAACCACATTCCCCCACCCTATACAAACCCGCCCTCACTACTGTCCCGCACACAGCTACAGGACCCACTGGAAGTGAAAAAAGAATCGCCCCTTCTTCCATCCTCCCCTGAAACCATATCTGATGAATTACCCCAAAGCATGGATATAAAAGAGGAATCTGATGAGGTGATGAATCTCTCAGGGCAGGACTCCTCTCTCAATCTCTCCTTCAAAACTCAGGGGGAGGACACGCCCCTAACTTTCTCCCCATGCCACCTCTCCGAGGGCCCAAGCCTCAATCCGGATCATTCGGTTTTCCAGCAAAACAAGATGATCATGAAACGGGTGAAATCTGAGGTGTGGCACCATTTCATAGTGTCTCCAGTTGACCAGTTAAAAGCACTGTGCCGTTACTGTCCATGCGTCATCAGTCGGGGGAAGCGGGGCGACTTTGGTACAAGCTGTCTGATGAGGCATCTGATGAGGCGCCACCCAGACGTCCTCAAAAACCAAAAAAGCACCGATGAGAAGGAATCCTCCCCTCGTCCCTACACCGAGCTCGCCGCAACCGACGCAGTTTCAACCAAAGAAACTGAGAGCCCTGCAAGTAAGAAAAAGCCCCAAACACTGCCTGTTTTCAGTAAAAAGACGTCAAAACTGTGGAACCATTTCTCCATTTCACCCACCGACCCCACAAAGGTGGTTTGTTTGCACTGTGGCCGCACAATTAGCAGAGGCAAAAAGACTACGAACCTCGGCACAAGCTGCCTCTTCAGGCACATGCAGAGGTTTCATGGACATGTTCTTGAAAGTAACAATGCTATCTCAGGTGATGTGCCGTCTGCTGACATTCACGTTAAACAAGAGCTCATGGACACTTCCGTTTATGAAACGGAACCGAACCGCGAGCGGTTTGACGAACACCACCCGGTTGCCAAAAAAATCACCAAACTTATCGCAGAAATGCTCGCACTGGATCTTCAGCCATCAGCGATGGTGGAGAATGCTGGACTGAACAGACTACTAGAGTACCTCCAGCCTCAGTATTCTCTTCCACCTTCTTCTTACTTTACCAGCACTGCCATACCAGACATGTACGAGAGGGTGAAGGACGTTGTGCTGACCCACCTGAAAGAAGCGGAAAGTGGCGTCGTCCACTTCACCACTAGTATTTGGGTCAGTAGCCAGACTAGGGAGTACCTGACCCTTACGGCCCACTGGGCGACGTACGAGTCCAGTGTCAGACCCCAGGGTCAGGACTTTCACTGCTCCGCTCTCCTCAGTGTCTCGCAAATAGACTGTGATCACGATATGCACGACATCCCAAAGCAGCTGGAGTACCTGTGGGACTCTTGGATCACTTCATCAGGGCTGAAAAAGGGGTTCACTGTAACCGATAACACCACCATCAGAAACACCTTGGAGGACTACGGCCACGTCACCATGCAGTGTTTCGGACACACCATCGACCTTATTGTTAGCGAAGCCATAAAGAGCCAGAGAATGGTTCAGAACCTTCTGAGTATTGCGCGTAAGATCTGCGAGCGCGTGCACCGCTCGGCAAAGGCCAAGGAGAAGCTGGCCGAGCTCCAGAGGGCCCACCAGCTGCCGGAGAACCAACTGATTCAGGACGTTCCCTCCAAGTGGAGGACCTCCTTTTTCATGCTGGAGCGGCTGGTGGAGCAGAAGAAAGCCATCGACGAGATGTCGATCGAGTGCAATTTCAGGGAAATGATCAGCTGCGATCAGTGGGAGGTGATGCTGTCGGTCTGCAATGCACTGAAACCGTTCGAAGTCGCCTGCAGGGAGATGAGCAACCGCACTGCCACTCTGGGACAAGTGATCCCGCTCATTCACATCCTCAACAGAAAGATCGACCTGCTGTTCGACGAGACCGTGGGCATAGACAACATGCTCAAGTCTCTAAAGGAAGCCATGGTGAGCAAAATGTCCGCGACTCTGCACGACCCGCAGTACACGTGGGCGACCATGCTGGACCCGCGGTACAAGACGTCGTTGTTCACGGAGGAAGAGGCTGAGCGATGGAAACAAGATCTGGTCGGGGAGCTGGACTCGTCCACTTCTACCTCACTCGCGGCGAAGCCCCCCCCGCTGCTCAACGGCTGCAACGAGGCCCCCGTTTCGTCCGACACCTCCCCCCACCCGAACAAAGACAACCTCTGGTCCCTGATGGCCGACATCCGGCAGAAGATAAAACACGAGGAGAAGCCAAAGTCCTCCGAGCTGGCAGTGCTGGAGTACCTTGAGGAAGATATACTCGATCAAAGCTGTGACCCCCTCGACTACTGGAACCTGAAAAAGTTCCTGTGGCCCGATCTTGCCAAAGTAGCTGCCCGTTATGTGGGCTGCCCTCCCAGCATCGTCCCAGCAGAGACACTGTTCAGCACAGCCAGTGTCAACTGTGCCCTGAATCAACACAGGCCTTTACTGGAAAACACGGAGGGTCTGCTGTTCCTCAAGGTTAACCTCCCTTTGATTTATTTCCAGTACTGATTTTCTGTTGAGCATTAACTTGAAACCCCTTTTTATCAAGGACCAAGTTGCATCGCTGTGAAATGGGGCTTTTTCTGTTGGGGCGAGAAAATGTAAAAAATATCGATTTATACACTGATTGATTCTCACTGCAAAGGCCAGATGTGGAGGACTTATTTTATTCTGTGTACTACTGTTAAAACACTTTGGAGCTGTTGTGATGAAATGTCTCAGACAAAAGTGTATCAGGGAGGGAGGGTTTTTCTAGCTGTAGGGGTTGGTGATAACGTGTTTCCTTGTTAATCAATGTGTGTTTTTGTTTTGTTTTTCTCTGTGTCTACTCTCTCCTTGTGCCTTATCCAAAACTACTTCAGGTCAAAAATGCTGTAAATATTTTTGTTAAATTACACAGATCACGTCAGGACGCTTTTTTGATTATTGTGTATTAAAGATGGATGCTGAGTTGTTTTCGGAGTGAAAACATGGCCCAAAAATAAATGCTGTGACTGAAAGATGTTTTAAGTTAATGTTATTTAATTTTCATTGTGAAATTGTGGCTCATGGTACTGTCATTTAGAAATAGATCTTTTTTTTTTTTTTTTTTACTTGCTGAAATGTTTTTAATAAGATGTATAATATTGCTGTATTTTTCAGAATAAGCAGTTTGTTTGGAATATACAATTTGTCTCTTAAGCACAATTTAAGTTTATGTCCAGGGGATTAAATTATGGGTTTATTATCGAGTAAAAAAACAATGTACTGTACATCTTTATATGAAATGACTTCTGAACCTAATTTGATAAATGTTTTAGCATCGAGACTGGAATCATGCAAATTTTGTGGTCATTTTTAAATAAAGGTTTTCCTTATGCAATATCAGAGTTTTTCTTTGGTTAGCAGTTAGAGCTACGATTTAATGTTTCATGGATCCAAAATGAGTTCCATCCACTCCAGTTTCAGCTGTATTCATCTATAAAATATATCCACAAAATATGGAAATAGTCTGCAGTAAACAATACAAAGCCATCTATAGAATATAATCGTTTCCATATCTGCAAGAAAACATTCAATTCTTTCCTTGTTTTTCATGAGACACAAGACAGAACCACTTAACATCAGAAAAGATGTCCGACGGTTCACTGCAACATTTATTTACATGGGTAGCACATGTCATAGCAGTGGATGATCGACCTGTCCTTGTTTTTAAACCATTATAACCTTTGAGGAAACTCGTTTTGGTCACCTTTGGTCTTATGTTTTGGTCACTTAAACACCTTAATCCGAGCTTCCCTTAAAGTCCCTCTCTTTGTTGTCCGGTTGCAGTCTCTCTCTCCATGAGCACAGCTTTTCTTACTAACCGCACACTAACAGGCGGGATGTGAAATACGTTGAAGGCAATGTTGCTGTAGCCTTCAACGTAGGCCAGAGGCCGATGCGTGTCCTGGAGCAGTTGTATCTTGGTGACGTTCGCCTCCATCAGCAGGTGTGTGTACATTTTCATGTCGAGATTTTTGAGACTCAGGTCCTCACGTTTGTCATATCTGTTTAAAAATACAAAAATGACTGCGATACCAAAGCAATGTTGGGTGCATTATTTTTGGACAGATTTTCATTCAAAATGAAAACACTAACCTCCAGTTTCTGTTCTGCTCTAAGAAGCGAGATACTCCGGTTTCAGCAGCATAGGTGTCGATATGAACAAAGACATCTGAGGGCACAGAGGCATGGTGTAACAATGTGAGAAGCATGCATTCAATGACTGATGTCAGTATACAGTCTCATGTAGGATTACTGAGAAAGTAAGAGAAATGATTTTGTCTTATCCACTATTTATATCACCACACGAACCAGTCATTTTGAAGCTGATTGGCTGATTGTTATCAAAACAAACACTGATATGGTTTGTGTACATGTGCCCATCACTCATGTTAAGTTTAAGAATTAATAATGTTGTAGAAGTTCCCTGCAAATAAAAAAAAAAAAGTGCTGAAAGTGACTCCAACCTGCTGTGACTGGCAACAGCCTGTGTAGCTCCTGCAGTCCTCGGCCCCCTGGGTAGTTGTGGTGGGACACATAGAGACTGATACTGGAGTACGCTGCATTGGTAAACAGCTGGCCGACCACGACCGCAGAGCCCAGTTTATACATCCAGGATTTCTGGTAGTTGCACAAACTGAAGCACAAAAGAAAGAAGAGAGAGTGAGCAATAGCTTGTGCCGTGTCTCATCTCGCACACTGATCAATATCTGCCGTTGGTTAACAAAATATACATTTCCAATCCTGTGTTTTTGAATGCCAAGCATTGGGGGGTGATATGTTTTCACGCACATGAACGAACAGCCTCGGGCAGCCACCAGGCTGAGCACAGGGAGAGTGTATATGATGAAGCGCAGCTCCTTGTGGGGCAGGAGCGAGTAGATGAGGATGAAGCCCACGGTGGGCAGCAGCAGCAGCCTCATCCGCCTGTCGAGGAGGCCGAGGGGGAGGAACAGCAGCGTGCAGCCCAGGGCGCGGGGCACGGCAGAGTAAAAGTACCACAGAAAGGGAGAGGTTTACTGGGGAGGAGAGAGTCAAGGAGAACTGTGGGGTGGAGATCAGTGGCAGTAAATTCACGAAAAGGTTAAAGTAAATGCACATGCATGGGTGAGCAAATCAAAGGATATTCCCCAGTTGGAACTTTTGTTGAGGATAGTGTTGTACCACAAAACCTGACCTTCAGGCCACAACAATTTCCTCCAAAAGATGGAGTCAATGGCCACCGTCAAAGCTGTAAAACAAAAACACAGGAAATCAAAACCTGATTGGACAGCAGGGGCAATTTATTGAGAATGTACTATTCATATACTGTACATTCACTACTCACCCAGAGACAGGATCCCAGCAGGAACAGCATAGTAAAGCAGCTGCAGCAGTCCCAGCTTCCTGCTCAGCATTGACATCAGTAACATGAGACCCAGGAAGACGCAGAGCTCCGACCGGAACACAATGATGACTAAAGCAGAGAGGCTGATGAAGCGGCCGTACTTCTGAGCCATCCAAGATGTGAATGCTACCAGAACTGAGAAGAACGATTTAGGAAAACAAAACAAAAAATCAATCCAGAGTCTCTCAGGCTTATGATGATTGTGACCTGTGTGCAGTATTTTACCTATTGGCAGTGCAAATACATTGGGGAGCGTCCTGGTGCTGTAGAACATGAGGTGAAACTGAGAAGCACACGTCAGACAGAAGAGCCCGGCGACCGTGGAGCCAAACTGCCTCCTCACCTCCTTCTGCATGTGCCACAGCGCACCGACGACGCACACTCCCAGGGAAGCTCGCACTGCAGACAAACGCATGGAGAGAATGCATTTGTTTGAACCGTTTGAAAAAGCACATCGGTTGGATTGGAAAGGTGCATTTAGGGAGATGTTAGAAAATGTTACCCGTCAGCTGGGTGTAGAATTTTGGGGCATCGAGCAGAGAGGACAGAAACACAACGGGGGAGCAGAGCACGGAGAGAAACAAGGGGCCGAGGAACGTCCGTGGCACCACACCAGGGAACTCATGGTGGTCATACTGAAAGACAGCAAGGGCTCAACAACATCAATACAGCTGAGATGACAACTTTGTAAAATCAGTATGATTACATATTATAGTTAGATTAGTTATAGTTCATAGGAGGGATAATATAGCATTCATTTCACTGACTACACAACACAGCTACAAAGAGTGCAAGGTTATATATATTTATTATTATTCTCACTTATGGCTTTGTATGCATTAAGTATGAATTTATCAGAAATCAATTCAATGTACCCTCTTGGTGACTGTTAATGCATTTTACATTCAAACAACTGTGGAGCTCTAATATACAGAGAAACTGTGCCAACGGTGTGATTTATAATAATTATAATGTTACACACTGGTGCTGTGCATAGTTAGCTTGTTAGCACAACCAGTACGAGCATCTGGAGATGCTATAGATTACGCCTGCTTAACCTACCTCGTCAAAGTTAATTCTGTGATACAGAATGTCGTGTGCCGCTTGTAAATTGAAGCTTTCCTCAACTTTAGTGAAGGGACAAATTATTAAATGTAAAAGAGCCACAGTTAGTAATAAAATAAGAAGTGGCAGCCCTAAAACATTCCTCTTTTCAGCCATGACAGCTGACTTTTGTATCACTTCCGGGCAGGAAAGGAAGCGAACTACACAACATTGTTTTCATATCGTAAAAAATCTATATATATAAATTTGTTGTCGTAATGAGGAAGAGCAATTGTTTGGAACGTTTCTCTAAAACGTCACCTAACACGTTGATTTAAATTATTTTAAATACTACAACTAACCAAAATGTCCTACATGGGGAAGGAGATAATATTTGCCCACTTCCTCTTCAGTGCAGCTTTTCACAATCGCCACTAGGGGGTGCTAAAGGCCATACGAAATAAACCAATACAAACAAACGTTGAGATTAATTACACGGATAAACTGAATTTGAGTATTTTGCTCCTTTTGTTTTGTGGTGTGAAATAAAACTAACTCTACATTTTGTTTTGTTACAGGGAGCCAGGAGCTGAGGGGCGAGAACGACGGCCTCGTCACCGGGGACAAACATTCAGCAACTGTAGCTTGGAATTAAGACATTAGTCCATTTGTAATATCTCCATTTGACCATCTTGTACTTAAGGCTACAGTTAAATTAGCTCTCATCCTATATAAAGCCTTTACTAATAGGACAACCAGTAGAGAGGACAATACACTCACACAAAGTTTGCATCCTTGTGTGAATATTATTGATAAATGTTTCTCTTTTCATCATTTACTCAATGTGATTTGGACAATTTTGGAGAAAATAATCCTGCAGGGGAGGGTGACTGCCTTGCAAGCAAAAAAATATAAAGTATGTGCATATGTGTTACTGCAAGTTAATAAACACGTTTGCTGACATTTTTTTTGCTGCTGTTGTTTTTGTTAACTGTCCTCTGCCTTAGGATTGCAAGTATCCAGGCTCTTTCAGAAAGATTCATTGAGAGATAAATAAATATAAATAAATGTATATGTATATATATTTACTTAATCTCTCTCTCTCTCTCAATTTCGTTTCCAATACAGATTTGTTGTATTAGAATAAGCAGAGACGGGTTGTATAATGTTTACAACTCATAGCTGTACTGAATGGTAATAGAGCACTGAAAGATAAAATAAAAATAACTAGTATAAATCAAATAAAAATATATATTATATATAAGATAAAATAATTAATATTTCTCTCTTTCTGTCTTGGCTAATCACACGCACGCACTCACACACGCACGTGTCACTGAATGCCATGGAAACGGACCCGACCGAGGTTACTGAAGGCCTCAGAACTTTCTGATCGCTCACTCTGCACTTGGAAACTGAGCGGAACACTTCTTGAGCGGAACAACTCTTGAGCTGATCACCTCTTGGATATCCATACCGTGGAGAGCTGACTCTTTGAGTTTTTAACTTCTTGAGAAAAGCTACTTGATACGAAACTTGTTGGAGAAACTACTAAATCGCTACTATCTTGGACAACAGAAGCGCCTGAAGATCTTCGGCTGAAGGAGGAGCACCTGCGGGGAGTGTGCTGTGAGAGATGGCCCATACCTGTGCTGGTAAGACAACTTTTACATTTATTTTAGCATTTTTGTTTTGATTCATCCCCTTCAAAGTATTTAAAGCATTCTCCGTTTAGAAATCAGTGAAAGGTGAACAGTTGACACTATATTATCAGGCCTGTCGGAAACAGACACTCTGTAAACTGATTATTTGAGTGTGGAATGTGTTCACAATAGTATAGATGTTTAATTAAACACAGTTATTTTGGTTTGAAGGCATCAAATCTTCATATTTTAACATAAAAATGTATATTTCGGAAAATAGAACACTTTCATAAAAGGCTAAATAAATGCTGAAGTTGTGCACCATGGTAACCATATGGAACGATTAGCGGCGAGCGTCAGGACGTAGCTTGCGTCAGGACGTAGCTTGCGTCAGGACGTAGCTTGCGTCAGGACGTAGCTTGCGTCAGGACGTAGCTTGCGTCAGGACGTAGCYTGCGTGAGGACGTAGCCTACGTCTTCAAACCAGGGCACGATGCGACCCTGAGTGGGTTTGACTGTTGAAACTTGAGTTATTGAACAAACATCTGATCCTTTTACGTCATCATATTACATAAACTATTTCTCTAACATTTAGCATTGAGATGCGCTTTGCTCGTTGTTGTGGTATTTGGTTTTCGAGGGACAAGAGAGCGATCCGTTAAGTAACTGTACGGGGCTGCAGGTGCGCGTGCTGCATCTCCTCCACGCGCTGTGATATGCAACTCATAAACCGGGAGAATAATGAATTATAAACTAAAGAGGTTAGTCATGTTGGATTAATGTAGACACGTTTCACTGTGCGTCGCTAGTTCAACAAATACGTTCACGCTGTTTATTGCAAGCTAAGCAAATGCAAAATAAACGTCTTTGTCCAGAGCTCACGAGTAATCAACAGTCGGTTAATTGACCCGCTGACTGACTGATTAGCAACTGGAATCTGAATCCAGAAAAAGCCCGTGCGTAAAAGCGCGTGGCCAGCTGCTCCTCTCACCCTACTCTGTTGTTTCGGACATATAATAATAAGAGTAATAATATCTATAACGACAATAATAATATTTATTGCTTTTATCATTATTAATATAATTGTGTTATGTGTTCAAACTAACAGAGGCAGAGCTGCACTATGTTTGCTATAAATGTTTAAAGGTGAACCCTCTTGTGTGTTGGGGACTTAATGTGAGTTGTGTAGTGCTGTCCAGTTACTTTATGGCTCTGCTGTCGTCTTTTCTAATTTGAACTTTGATTATTGCTTCATGTAATCCAGAAATATTTCATGTTATGAGAAATCCTGACAGTTTAAATGTTTCCCTCTCAGCTGGTGTCGACTACGTCGTCGAACGTCCTCCACAAGACGGCCTCCCTGAAGTCATCAGGATCCTCGACGACGACGAAGGTAACCTCCCGATCCTTATCTCTTGCGTTGTGGGTGGATTTCAGGTGGAGCCAGGCGTGGTGGGTGTAGGTCAGGTGGAGCCAGGCGTGGTGGGTGGAGGTCAGGTGGAGCCAGGCGTGGTGGGTGGAGGTCAGGTGGAGCCCGGCGTGGTGGGTGCAGATCAGGTGGACTTCATCGTTGTGGGTGCAGGTCAGGTGGAGCTCGTCGTGGTTGCAGGTCAGATGGAGATCGGCTATGTGCGTGGGTTGCTTCAGCGAATCTTCACTGACGACGAGAGCGAAGATTCCGGGTACTACTCCATGGATGACTTGCCAGAAGATGATCCGCCCCCAGTCCCCCAGAGGGCAGAAGAGCCCACCAACAGGAGTAGGGAAGAGGACCTCACGGAGCAGGCGAGTGTGAAGAGTCAGAGGAACGGTGAGGACGACCACGAGGACGCAACGCCCTCCACTTCAGGCCTCGGATCCTCCATGAAGAGGACCAGAGAAGAGGACTACAGGGAGTCGGCGCCCTCCACTTCAGGCCTCGGTCCCTCCACAAAGAAGAGCCGGGCGGATGACTACAGATGGTCTCCACCCTCCACTTCAGGCCTCAGCTTCCCCCCACGCAGAGAATACTGGCAGGCGGATGAAGACAGCGACTCGGATTGAGACCGACCACCTATTTGCTGCAGGATTGTAAAACCTTTGCGTCTGGCAGGACTGATAAAGCACCAGACAGCCTTCCCTTGCGTCTGGCGGGGTTGGCGATAGGCAGCACCCTGCAGCAGAGCTTTTAAATATCTCTTCTTTGTTGATTTTCCATTTGAAAAATGGTTGTTGCTCGACCCAGAAACCAAAGGTAAGTTAGTAGTGAAGATTCTGTCATGGGAGTTCAAGATCAGGACCCAATAGCAAGACCACAGGAGACAGAATCTGGTAAAACTGATTTTATTTCACCAACATAAAGGACAGGAATGTGTGGAGCCCGTGGATCGACACCGGAGGACAGATAGATCGACGGTGTGATGTCCCATGTATCGACACCAGAGGACAGACAGATCGACGGTGTGATGTCCCGTGGATCGACACCGGAGGACAGACAGATCGACGGTGTGATGTCCCGTGGATCGACACCGGAGAGGAGAGCAGGTGAATCACGGGTCAGACAGGGATCCTGACAGGTTGTTCACTTTACTCACAACTCGGATTGAGACCGACAGCATGTTTGCTGCAGGATTGTAAAACCTTTGCGTCTGGCAGGACTGATAAAGCACCAGACAGCCTTCCCTTGCGTCTGGCGGGGTTGGCGATAGGCAGCACCCTGCAGCAGAGCTTTTAAATATCTCTTCTTTGTTGATTTTCCATTTGAAAAATGGTTGTTGCTCGACSCAGAAACCAAAGGTAAGTTAGTAGTGAAGATTCTGTCACGGGAGTTCAAGATCAGGACCCAATAGCAAGACAACAGGAGACAGAATCTGGTAAAACTGATTTTATTTCACCAACATAAAGGACAGGAATGTGTGGAGAGCAGATCAGGGGAAACACAGGTCCTGACAGATAGTTCATTTTACTCACTATCCGTTTTTCATAGGTGTAGGTGACTGTATCAGACATCATCATCATTTCCCTTTATGCCTCTTGGCATGTAGGGCAGCAACAAAAGTCTTCCACTCCTGTCTGTCCTGGGCGAGTCGCTGGATGGTGGCCCATGAGTGGTTTAGGCTCTGCATCTCCTTCTCCACAGTTCTTCTCCATGTGTTTCTTGGTCGGCCTCTTTTTCTTTTCCCTTCTGGTGTCCAATGTAAGGCTGTTCTTGTAATATCAGCAGGATCTTTTCTCAACACATGTCCTATCCATCCCCATCTTCTGCTCATTAGGATGGTCTCCATGCATTCTTGTTGGCATTTGTCATACAGTTCTTCATTTGAAATGGTGTTTGGCCAGAAAATGTGCAGTATTTGTCTTAAACTCTTGGTCTGGAAGGTTGATAGTCTGTTGAGGTCTTCTTGTGTCATTCTCCAGCATTCAGAACCGTACAATAGGGTGGATAAAACACAGCTCTGATACAATTTTAAGTATGGTCTTTATGGTGTACTGCTGTGACCTCCATATGTTGGCTTGTATCAGACAGAGGTATGGTAAAAATTACTAACGTTAAGAAAAGTTTTCCAAGTCTCTTTTACTCAGGTATCGATGGCTGTAACACAGGAAGCAACATCCTGGATCTCCTAGACAACAGAGAAGATGTGTTCACTCTGGACCAGATGAGAAGGATGGATGACCACAGGACCAGATGAGAAGGATGGAGGACTACAGGACCAGATGAGAAGGCTGGATGACCACAGGACCAGATGAGAAGGATGGAGGACTACAGGACCAGATGGAGAGCGGTGGTCTCCTTTCTTTCAGTGGGCTGAGTAAGTAATCCCTCACTAAGACTACAGAAGTATCAGTAATAAGATTCCATCATTGAACAATGTAAAGGTTGTATAGTTGAGTTAAAAGTATTCATCTCTTGTGTTTGTGTCTCAGGGCAGGACTCCTCTGTGCTTTTTTCTCACTCCTGGGGCAACTGAGAGTGGACGTCTTCCAAACCATCATCCCAGGAAGACCCAGACCCACCACAGACCACTGAACCACTCTCAGCACCCCAGTGAGTCCGAGACCCAGTGAGTACGGTTACGTCCTCCCTGCCCCTCCCCCCTCCGACACCGCCCGCTCCACCCACCAGCTGAGGAGCGCCCCGTCCCCACCGGCACAGAGGACGTAGTTTGTCTCCGTCTGCTTCTTCTGTGCTGGTGGGTTTGGGAAGCTCCTCACACACACAGGAAGCCGTCAGCAGCTCTTTGCATCTGCTCAGAAGTCAAGGAGACAGATGCATTTGTCACATAGAACACAGTATGTTCATGTAAACTGTATGTACTGTATGTATACTGTTTATTTACGGAGTAGCACAATAAAAATCAATGTATGACAAACTTTCTAAATATGTCTTTATATTGGAAACATTATTTTATTTCTGATATAATTCAAAAATCTGACAATGTACGACAATTAATATACAATAAATATTGTGCAAGTGATAATTTAAGATCTTTTTGATTTTCATTTGACTCAAAGGTATTACTGTTAGTACTGTTAAGTATTGATAATCATAATATTACATGTTGATATAAATAAAATAGGGAAAGCTTTAGATTACAGCCCCAACGTGCAGCATTATTCTTCCCAATTTAATTATAACTAAATCATAAATAATTGAAATCTTTACTGATTGTTAACTAGTACAGAACTGATGACACATACATGCAGGTGCAAGGGAACAAGATGTGACGTTAATGAATAAGGGGGAAACAATGTGGGAACTTAATTAATTCACATCATTATTATAATTTATATATACATTTATGAATATATATATATGTATATAGGTGTATATGTGTGTGAATGAAATAAAAAAGTTATTGATAAATACATTATTTTATTTACAAGAACTATAAATGATTGAAAATGAGTTATTTAACATAGCAACTGATTGAATTATTAACTGATTATTAATTTAGAAAAACTATATTATGAAAAAGAACTATGAATGAATTATTGAATATATGATTGAAAAACTGATTAAAACTAAAACCTTTACAGTATATTAATATCTGTATATACAGTATAATCCTTCTGAGCAGGCATTCTAGGCAGGAAACAGGAAGTCCTCTGTAGCGTAGGCCATCTCATTTCGGAAACCGCATGGTCCAGCCTTCGCGGTCCTCAAAGGACGCGGCCCACGTAGACTGCGAAGGCTGGGTCCTCCGAAGGATGCAGCCCCTGAACTGAGACACAGCTACTGACTCCAATACAGTGGCTCGGATCAAATGGTTCACCATCTGTAAAGAGAATGAAATGAACCCAACTTCTACTACTCTGGAGTTCAGGAATTAAATTAAACACCGTGCAACATTTTAATTGAAACTAACTGGTGGTCAAAATCCTAGCTGCTCAACATCAGTATCAATTATTACAAAATAAAGAATATGAAAACAAAACAAACCTTAAAGAGAGGGCCAAAACCTAAGGGCCAGACAAGGAGGACATTAATCAGAGAGGCAATGAAGAGTCCAAAGATGACCGTTAAAGAGCTGGAAAAGTCCACAGGGAGGATTTGAGTTTCTGTCCACAGGACCACTTTAAGCTGTTCGGTTCATTTGGTTGTTGTAAAAAGATAGAAAAGCTACAGAGTGCTTAAATTAGCAATGCCAGCTAGTGACATACAACACAGTACAGAAGGGTCGGTTGACTGTCACTACACAAGTCCTGTTTCATGAATGGAGCATTTCTTCTTCTTTGTGTTGTTGAACAGCAGTTAGCACCAGCTGATGCGCCATACCACCCCCTCTGCAAAACAGTATGTCGGTCAAATTGGTCAAATTCTGCATCATATTCCCCAAAACTAGTCTTGTTGAGCGGCAACGTTTGGAAATAATATGATAATATATGACAAGTCTTGTCTTTAATTTGAATTCCCACTATAATAAATAGTATAAATGGACCATGTTTACTCATATTTCTGCATAAAACCATATATGTAACAAAGTATTTATTGTATAGATAAGCGTTGTTCACCTGCAGTGGAAATGCTGACTTAAACAAGTCCACTAAGATCAGGTTGTGTTAGTAAATTGTATCCCAATATTCAATTCAATTTATTTTGTATAGCTCAATATCACAAATTTGCCTCATAGGGCTTTATAATCTGTACACGTGACATCTTCTGTCCCAGGACCCTCGAATCGTCCTGGGATTCCCCCCCCCCCCCCCCCCCTCCAGTACTTATTATTGTTAATATATACACCATTTGTTTATTGAATGCGTATGTTTTATCAGCCAAAATGCTGGCTCCACAATGCATTCCTGCTCATGAAATGTTTCTGACACAGATGGGTGAGGTGTCCGCAGACCCCATCACCCTGGACCTGCTGAGAGAAGCCAGGGAGACGGTGAGCAGCAGCCCCCTGGGTGTCATCAACACTCCCATGATCCCCTGGTGCCAGACGACCCTGCCTCTCGACATCCGCTGCAACATCCACATCAAACTGGAGAACATGCAGAGAACTGGTCGGATGAAACCACTTTGGTTCTTTCTCGCAGAAGCAGCCGCGCCTCGGCTCGTTGCTCAAGACTTGTCTTACATTTGATTGACAGGCTCGTTCAAGATCAGAGGAGTGGCCAACCAGTTTGCCAGGAGACCGAAGGGGGGTCATTTTGTCACCATGTCCGCCGGGAACTATGGGAAGTCTTTTACGTACGCCTCGAAACACTATGGGTCAAAGGGCAAGGTGGTGATGCCCGAAACGGCCCCCGTGTCCAGATCCACCCTGATACAGGTTAGAGGTTATCTGCCGACTGTTGGTCTACTTAGTGAACTTTGGGCCCGTTGTGTTTCTGTTTAAACCCAGCCTGCACCATGTACAGGAGTTTCATTAAGAAGAAGCCAGTGGGCATGGACACCAAGAGCATCGCCTCAGGACTTGCACCACCTTTTTACAGGTATCATGTGCAAGTCTTTTCTCTCAATCTTTCTCTCTGTGGCTTTAAATTATGGATGCTTGAAGTTAGATTCAGGCTTATCATTTTAGGCTGAAGACCTTCTTAATTGTTACCGATACTCATTTGTGACTCTCTCCTTTTCTTTGCATCGCAGGCACACTGCCCTTCGAGTTATGTCAGCGTTACGTGGAGGGGATTGTCCTCATAAACGATGAAGAGATCAAGGCGGCCGTGTCCACCCTCTACAGGTCCGGCCTTGTGGTGGAGCCGTCGGGCTGCACCGCGTTCGCCGCCATCGTTAACGACAAGATACCCGAGCTGGAGGGGAAGAGCGTGGTGTGCATCCTCAGAGGAGAGAACATTGGAAAGGACGAGCTCGTTAACTTCCCGGGCTGACAAATGTACACTACTATAACGTGACTTTTCTTAGTGGGAAATAAAAATAAAATACTATTCAGGTCTTCTGATGTGGAAAATCTAAATAATTGCAATGCCCATGTCATTGAGAGAACGTGAATGTTTCATGTGAGTGAAGTGAAGAGACATTTTACATTTGGTTACAGAATTCCTTTCGATGTGATCTAAAAGAACAAAGCTGCATCCAAATGTTTTAGACCACCAGTACATTTGATATTCTTGACTTCTTCGGCTGAGAGGGTTTGACTGAATATTTCATGTGTTGAGATCTGGCAGATATTCGGCCCAGAGCATTTTAGATTCATTATTCACCAACTGCTGGCATGAGACTAGTTTTAAATCAACTGTCCCTAAACCCAGAGCCCACCTTCAAACTTTTAGACACAAAAATAACTTTCTCCAAAAAGGTACAAATGACTGAAGCATGAAAAGTTGCTGTGGGAACTGTAGACAAAGAAAAAAAAAGTGTTATGACTTCCCTAACTGCCTCTCAAATGACACGAGTCTAACAACTAGTGTGAGCAGGAAAAAAAGACCATGAAAAGATATATGAAAAATAAGATATATTTTCTTTTCAGCTGGTTTACTTTCGATTAATTTGAGTTTCTGTGGAGACGAGGTTTGCATATTTTGGGACAGCAGGAAAGACATTATCAATATGAATCCAGATCTCATAAAAAAAGGCGACCATTTGTTGTTTTTTTAAAGTCCTTTTTCCCGTAGCTACATGATGTCCTTCGAGGCCATCCTGCATACAACCGCGTCCAGCAGAGTCCCACACTTCTCCTCCTGGGGGGTGATTTTATAAAGCTAAACAAAGACAACAAAAAGTGTAAGATTAAAAGATATGTCACTCTAGGTAAGAAAAAAAAAACACACAGCAAGTCCAGATAGCATGAGTCACATTAAATGAAGGCAGAGATGGAGAACCTTTTTGATTTTGGCATGATCTGTCAGCGAGGAAACATCTTCTGCTGGAACCTGGCGTCCGCTCACCCTGGCTGTGATGTCTGACAGCAGCTGGGGCTTGTCTTTGTCGTGAACCAGGACCACCAGGACGGAGTCGTCGCCATCAGAGCTCCCGAACCTTTTGAACGCCTCTGAGATCTGCATCAGGGAAAGGCATAATCAAATATGATGCATTTCTGATTTGAGTTTGTTCATGTACATTAGGGGCCCATTTATCTGATGCACAGCAAGTAGAATGAAATAATGCATTCCATGTCTAAATATTAAATAGTGCAGCTACAATAAGCTAGCAGAGCAATGTTGAAAATAACAAGTATTCTTGCACGTCTCAATTAGGTGCCGTTTTAAACAAGAAGAAGCATTTTCAGATCACAAATAGATCATGATGTAAAGAAAATGAAGCTCGGTTCTGGGTACTTACATTATTAGTAGGTGACAGGTTGAAGATTATTTCTGAGTACAGGCTTCTAGTCTTCATTTTCCCAATTTTCTGTAAGTTGACAGCCTTGTTGGCAGCTACCAGTACTTGGAAAGGATTCACCAGCTGCAAATGAAAAAGAAAGCCAGACGATGAATGAGGCGCCACCGTTTAACTGGCCACTTTAATTTCTCATTTGGTATAAAAGATAGCTGTCTGGAAAGTAATGCTCTTGTTAGCTAATGAATACATATCAGAACATGCCTAATGTACATTAGTTTGATACAAAAACGTTGCTAAAGCTGAATAAAACAGCTCACCATCGTCGGGTTAATCAGGGCACCCTTTATTTTACCCTCCACCGCACACTGTCTCAACTCTGCGGCATTTTTGACCTCCTTGAAAAGCATTTGAGTCACCCTGTGGTCGGGGAAGAGCTCTAGTTCGTGTGCTACATGCATGTTGGAAAACTATGAAGACAATTACGATTTTCCGCGCTTCACGTGAACGTCCGCACACGAGGGGGAACCATAACACGGTGACACCGCATTGGAGCTAAGTTCCTGTTTCAGGAAAACGGCTCCAAAAACTCAACAAAACGACACTTTAAAGCTTTTCCATTTGAAATGTATCATATGTGATTATGGTGGCTGCTATCACTACTGCTATTTCTCTAGAAATGTGACGCTTTACTATTTTTGCACAACCAGGAACCAATTCCTATAAAACCATTTTCGCGTCGACCGTTTTTCAGAGGCGGACCGCCAGCTGTCAAACATATAACTCTTCCGTTTAACAATACAGGACGGAGTTAAACCAGTTTCCCTCGGCATTGAGAGAGTGCAGGGCTTTTTATACGCGAATATACCGATATGCGGAATACTCCACTTTATTACAGCTGCCTTTGAACTGCGTTCACTTTTACATCGTGTTTCGTCATCAAACATGGAGAAATTTGAAGGCTACATCTTCACTGCGCTCTGCAGCACCAACTTTTTGATATCCTGCCTGCTGTTCTCCAGAGTCACTCGGGAGCAAAGGGAGCCGTACATGGACGAGGTTTTCCACGTCCCGCAAGCTCAGAAATACTGCCATGGGAAATTCAACGAGGTAAAAGTGGCTTCCTGAAAGTCGCGATGTAGCCATTAAAGGGCGTCTCTTTGTTGTTGTTGTTGTTGTTGTTGTTGTTGTTGTTGTTGTTGTTGTT